AATTGGTGGCTGACTAAATACTTTTTTGCCCCACTGTATGTAGTAAATAAACTGCCTTAATCAAAGAACTACCAAGGAGAAAACCACACCCCCACTAACATTGGCAGGACAAGCTACTACATATAAACAGAGAGCAAACCCCACACTCACTAACACTGATCGTGTTACGTAGTTGGGTGATGAAATGCCTGCAAGCAAATAGCCAAGCTCACAGAGCACCAAGGACTCCATGGTTAAAGTTTCAGTTGCAAGAAAAGGTATAAAAGAGATACCTGGTATCTATTTGACAAACATGTGTCACTTTGGATTTCTGGGAACCAACAACAACTTCTATCAGGTACTGGCAAAGTATGACTTGAGCCAAGATTCCATTCACAGTAGCACCTTCGTTATCTGTTGAGGTAGCTGCTAGGACACATGTGCCACTTTGAGGATCAGTCCGCCAAGTCCTGAAAATAACAAAGTAAAAACAAGCCTCTCAACATTTCACATTATGATTTGGTATTATATTTATGAACTGAAGTCATGCAGCTACACCAAGAGCCTTTCTATGACACTTCATTTATATCAACTTCCTAACCTAATATAACATTAGACTATTTCCCAATACATATATAATGTGTCTGTGAACTAGTGTCAAGCATAGGCAAAATCTAATCCAGATTGCAGCTATAAGTAGGAGAAATAGCAGGACTTGGAAACACAGCACCCACAGGATTGCAAAATTAAATATTTTTAAGTTACATTTTTAAAAAATAGCTAAGATCTCACCAAACTGCCAAATCCTGCAGTATTTCACGTGAAGAAGACAACCCTCTTGAGATTGTATTGTTCTCATATGAAATACTAAGATTTTGGAGTGAGATTGCTGAACTGTTACAAGGGCCTTCTTGTACCTGTGGTGCTCAGTCTCTGAAAAGGATGTATACCCCACGGGTAGACCAGGAAAACCAACTCTTAAACCTCTCCACTTTACGACTCTACATTGCCTAAGCCTGGAATGCATCTGCTCATCTGCCACCTACTGTAATTCTTTCTCCTCATCCCATCCTAGATTTCTCTGCTGATCAGTTGATGCTGATCAGTTGCTATCATAAGTATAGTTGCAAATTATCACTTTTTAAATAGAGTTTTCTCCAGAGAATATATTTTAATACCGTGTCATTTACAAAACTTACTCTGCAGTCTGCACTAGCATAGTCCTATTTAATTTGAAGCAATAAGTGCATTAGTCAGAAATTTAAGTCCCATGTGATTTTCACACGTGTCACATGTGATTGTTTTTTCCTTAGTGCAATGTGTAAACACAGCCAATTGTGCTTTGTTAATCAATGAACCCAAGCCAATAGTGGGATGAGGAGATTAATGTACACATCAATACCAAAGAACTTAAATCTTTTAGGATTTTTTTTTTCCTGAGTGTATGTAAGGCAAGTAACAACGTAAAAATAATAGATTTTGCTTCTCATCTCCAAAACCAAAGCTGTTGTCAGAAAAATGAGAATTTGTATTAGAGTTCCTTACCTCAGGACCACATACTCTCTTGAAGGAAGTGGAGACATATTTGCTGTCGTGTACTGATAAATATCTGTTTCATCATCTAAAATCTCCAAAATGTTTGTTTGTTGAAGATTTGGATCCCACAGATGTTGCTCCATCAGTATCCGATGTAGAATAACTTTAGGAACAGCATCAATTTCAACAGAAGTTTTCCATAACCGGATGTGGTAGTTATCATCCACCTTAGAATACAGTTAATATATTAAAAAACAATGTGGCAGACTTCTTCAAAGCTTAAACAAATTAGTAAAATCATTGACCCAATACAGAGACCACTAAAAACAATCTGGAGACCAAATGCATATGTCTGTAACAAATCTTCTTTAGTAATAGCACAGTCATATATGCTTCACTCAGAAGTAAATTCGATTGATTGCAGTAGGTCTTAGACTTAGATAAGGATTGAGAAAAGATTGTAGAAAAATGTATGCTGAAGAAGAATGGGTCAAAGGCATTTTTTTCATTAAATGTTACATTATGGATTCCAAGTAAAATTAAAGTGTCATTTTAGGCATTTAATGTGGCTTGCCACAATGTGCAAATCTAATTAAAGCTCATCCTATTTCTCTCAAATGATGGTTGCAGATTTTTCAACAGAGTTGAGACACTAAGCAATTTGGCTGATTTCATGAAATACTCAACAGTACAAATGCTGTTTTCAAACTCAGTCACTTCAAATGTTGTTAATATAGATTTGGACTGGTTTAGTGTAGTTCCTGTTAATTTTTTGTAGTTCTATAGATTCAAAGTTTCTGATTTTTTTTTAAAAAAAACTCTTCTTATACTTAGGAGGATTCCATGTTTAAAAGTACCTTACAATGTAATTGATAGATTACCTTCTTATATGCAGAGTCTACTCCTTCTAAGGTGGAACAAGTGACCCAGTTCTTGAATTTTTCCTTGGCATCTCTGAGTAAGTCTTGCATGAAGTGCTCCAGGGATGTCACTATGTTAGAGTACTTTATTAAAATGGCTTGATGTGAAGCTACTTCACCTGAGCCAATTTCGTTTTGTACATTTTCATATCCCTGTTCAAAGCAGTAGTTGGGTACCTGAAAAAGAGCACGAATATTTACATTGGCCTGAAATAAATTAGCATTGCATTCAATAATTCTTACATTATGAACATTCTTAAGTCTTTCCAGAAACCAGTTCCTGAGAATGCATCTTACAGAAAACAACTCTGTAAATATATTTGAATATATTTTTAAATACTTGTTTTAAGAGTTCAGAGTTGCTGATGCAATGATTTTCAGTCAGTCTCCCAACAGGTAAACCCACCGACCTTGCTTCAGCTGTAGAACTCTAAGCAACCTACCCTGACAGCTGCACTTCTTTCCAAAATACAGTGAAGCCTAGAAATGTTTCTTGCCCTGATAACTACAACAGAAAATCTGGAGACAAGATCTTTAATGGATAATAGTCACTTGTACATGAAGAAACTATACCGCAAAGTCAGAAAGGAAATCTCTATTCAGCACGTGCAAGAATGGCTATGGCACTTTAGAGATGTGTTTAAAGAACTGAAGAGTGGTGTAAGAATCTTGTAAACTATGATGCAAATTAGGGCTTAACAAGGTACAGAGGCAGTCTTCATACCCTTGAAATTTTGTTCCTATCCCTTAAAAGTCATGGCCAGTTTTCCATACAAAAGGGAAAGGAGAAAAAAGATCATGCTAACAATCATTACATCTGAACTATCAAGTTCACTTTTGGTTCTGCACTTTGCACAAATTATTGGTTACGAGTCACTTCCTACCCAGAGCCCATTTCTCTTGCATGCTATCATATGATGAAATATGATGAATAAATAGATTAGGAAACTGCAGAACGCCAGATGAAGAGGTAGAAATGACAGAAGACTCTGAACTGAGTCTACGTCATTCCTTATGAAAGCCCAGCTCACCCTCAGCTGGCTCTTCCCCAACCTAAGTAGGATGACTGGCTTTTCCAAGATCAAACTATTATTGTGTTTGTATGGAGAAGCGTTTTGGTACCAGGAAATACCATTACAAATGTTGCCAAGCAAAACATTTTTCACTCTTAACCAGAGTGGCTTCCTATCAGCCAATTAAATTTCCATCACAAAATGATATAATAAATATAGCAGAAGAGATGCCAGAAAGTCTACAAATTGAGACTGAATGGATATAATTATGTCCATGCTATACTTAAGCAGGAACAGGAAAATTCACATGTCCCCCATATCACTAATGAAGTTTTAGATCAGTTTAGGAAATGTCAATCTTTCTGTTACACACCACTCAAGATTGCTAACTCCCAATGAATAGATGAGTCATGCCCCAAACTATTTCTGAGCCCATATTTAGAATGAGCCAAGAAGGAATCAAGTAAAATAGCCAAACAGGACAAAACAAAGTGAAGGATAAAGATAATTAGACATTTTAATTAAAAAACAAAACAAAAAGCACCAGTTTTATATTTTGAACTAAATTGAAATACAAAATCCATTAAATCAAAAAAAACAAAAAACTATTTTCCATCTGTGGAACTGAAGATATTATCAAGTACAATGATGAAGAGAAAAGTAATTTGGCCTGAATCTTAGAAATACTTTGGTCTAGTGGTTAAGGCACCAGGCTAGAAACCAGAAGACTGTGAGTTCTAATCCCACCTCAGGCACAAAGGCAGTGACTTTGTGGCCAGTCACACTCTCTCAGCCCAATTCACCTCACAGGGTTGTTATTGTGGGGAAAATAGGAGGAGGAAGGAGTATTAGGTGTGTTCGCCACCTTGAGTTATTTACAAAA